TCTCTCTCACTCACACACATACACACATACAGAGGCTGTTGTTTAGTGTTAATTTAATCAGCTATAAATATCCAAGCATACAACCATTGGAACAGAACTAATCCTCATGAGCCAGGACAGAGAAGGGCAGAGTGAGAGACAACACCAATCTGGGTTTTTAAGTATCATTATATTTTACACTCTCAACTCAACTGTAGCAGCATGTGTTTTACTCTAAGAATTATATGAATAAAGCACAGATGGAAGTGTATTCACTGAGTAAATGGTATGGTATGGGAAAAGTAGTATAGGACAACCTGAGTATTTTAAGAGAAGTTCTGCACAAACCTGAAGATACAAAAGGTTTTTATATTATTGGTCTGGACCAGAAAAAAGCCTTTAATTACCACTCGAGAGATTATCTCTGGGCGGTGATGGAAGCATACGGCTTTCCAACTGTTTTTATTCAAATGGTAAGATGTATGTATTTAAAATCTAGAGGAGGAGTGGAGGTGTATGGAGGGTTAGGGGCAATTCATACTTTGCAGTCACGGTGATTGACATGGTTACGTGTGGCCGGGCAAGCGATAACTCCTAAAATATTGTACATATACGTCTGTCACCCTTACACCGCACAAAAATAGAAACGCCCTACCCAAAAGTAACGGATAGCCTATCTTTTTGTTCAAGACGTGGGTGGGTTAACATGCTGTAGCTAGTGTTTACTAGTTAGCTTAGCTAAACTCCGTTACCCCGTAACGTATTGCTATATGTTGCATGTTTGCTTAGGCCTATACACAAAAGTGAACATCTGTTCTGTCCCATGTGATGAAGTCTTCATCCCCGAGCTGAATATGTACCACACTGCCTGCGCCCGAATGACAGCTTGATAAGGTAACGTTAGTTAAAAAAAAAGCCTTATGCCAACTAGGACTGTATCAAAATATATCGGCTAGCAGGATTGTCAAAACCATTGCGTCACTGCCCTACCTGCTTATCCAACTCGCAACAATAGCAGCAGACCAACAGACACAGAGCAGCAGGGGCAGGACAAAATGGGCCTATAATGCTCTGTTACGCAATCTGTAGGTTGTAACCGTTAATGTAGTAGTAACTGTACGGATAGTTCACGTATGCAAACAGTAACTGTAAGTAAGTAAAGTAAGTAGACGCAGTACAAGCAGTAACGTGTGTACTTTAACATGTACCTTCTTTCGGTATTGCTTCTTCCCTCCCATTGCAAATATCAATATCAAATCACGTACATAATGATAATATATAGCTTTGTATAAGTAATACTTTGGCGACGTCCTGGCAAGAATCCTTTGATGTAAGTTTACTGGGCTTTCGTTGCTGGAGAATGATGTTCTTGCCCGCCAAGCTAGTAGGTTGTGACGGTCAACATGGCAAGTATGAATAAGGAACTTGGGGACAAACTAAAACTGTTTGTTAAGAATATAATTTTTAGCTTTTAGCCAGGAATGCTCTGTCTGGGTAATCTCTCTCGGGACTTTTTAAATGTTCAAGAATAACAGACAATAGAGAGCAATCAAGATGGAGCGACTTTGTGAACACCAAGATTAGTAGCTTCACAACGGTCATCGATCACATAAAATTTTGAACTTTTTTCGCATGCCGTGGAACTTAGTGTAACCCCAATAGTAAACACCAGTATTTGAGAGACCATTTAGCGACCCTAGGAGCGAAGACAGACGAGCTATCTCGAATAATCACATAAATCCCGGTCCTATTCCCCTGTTTTTTGAAATTTAAGCATGGATTTGTCTACATCTTATTCACTGATTCAGATACTGGGGGGTTCTAATTGGTGTGTATAAGCTGAACAGTTGATCAATGGATCAATTTAACTGCAATCAGATAGCTGTAGCATAAAGGCTAACTTGTATACATTTGGTATAAGGGGCAGCAGGAGGGGGTTTGTTGAAGAGATTTGAGATTGGAGGACACGTTAATGATTAGGAGAAAACGTGGGTTATAAGGCCAAAACACTGGTGATACACACCGTTGCACACTTCGGTGCCGTGATGCATGGCGCTTTGTGGTTCTGGGCCCCTGAACTCTGTTGGAAGCATTGATAACTGCCTGTTTCCTCTATTATGAGGTATTATGATCGTATTTAGGTCGCGCAGGCTAAGGATATCTTTTGGAGGGTTTGAGCACCGAACTTATCCTCGAGCGCCCTTCGATCCTGTGGGGACTCATAGGCGATAGGCGCCTATTCGTAGTTTAGCACACATCCATATACAAATTATTAGGTGCGCTCCTCCTATATGAGCGCGATGTGGCTCATCAGTCAACTGTCTACGATGCACTAACGAGCTAGCGAGATGCGCGAGAGCGAAGAAGAACGGCGCCTGATAGTTTTTAATGAGGGATACAGCTTCTGCACAGCGCGCGAGCTATAGCAGCCATGGGGGAAATGACTTCCGCAGGGTGCGGAAGAAGTTTCGCTCTAGAGAGTATAGCAGAAATATTGGATGTTAGCAGACAACACACAACACACCAAAATACTACACGCGCTTTGGAGTTTAGTACTAGATCTCCAAGATTAATGGTAGAGCGTGACAGTAAAGTATGTGACCGCGGTGTGACCTATAATTATTAAGAATCCACAAAAAAAGTCCAACCTTCGGGGTAGGTCCTACAATCTCCACCTACGAGGCACGAGCACGGTCCCTCTCCTCCTTCCTTTGTTCCAATACTTATGCATTCATTATTACATTCATGGGTCTACGTGACTTTCGCGAGAGACTCTGAGACACATGAACAAAAACTTCTCTATTGATAGACTACCAATTCACTAGACACAACCTGCAGAGTAACGAGGATCGAGGGTTAAGCGAACTAGTCACAAAAAACTCTATAATTACACCACCAAGAACTCCAGGCGACACAGCACGACAGAATACATGTTCAACAGCAGAATAATCACATTATTTCCTCCCCAAATTGGGTAATCTTTAACCAAAATATTATAACAAAACGTGTTTATATGCTCAACATCAATTGGGTTTAATAATGGGAACAAGAGAGTAGACACGCACAAAATAAGAGGAGCAAAGGAAAAAAAAAAGACCTCCTCCTTTTTATCTTTTATCGAGTCCAGAAATCATTTATAATGAGAATCTAATTTCAACACATGTGTTTGTGTGACTGGAACAGAGAACTGTTACTTTGTGAAGAGAGTGGGAAAGTAGCTTTTTGCACCCTATTGTTTATGCTCCGCATTATTTGTCCCCTGCGGCACTTTTAACCATAAGATTATCACTTATATGCTGGCCGAACCTACAACTTTTTTATCAACTGTGATATGATGATGCTGAGATAGCGGGAAGGAATATTCGTCGTCTTTAATGTGTCCCTCTACCCAGCTTACCGTTACCAGACTGACTTGCATCAGCCCTGTGGTGCTGTGCCGGTGGATAAGCTAATAAGTTGTGGAGAAGGAGCTGTGATGTTAAAAAAGGGGAAAAGATATGCTATTCCCATGGTTTTCTGGGAGCCCTGACTTACACTAGGAGGTTAGGAACAGTCCGCAGGATGAATCACGCTCTGAAACCAACAGTAGTACCTGAGCGCATGTCCGTGCAGGCTGTACACTAGTATGCCGCCCGCCTCCGTGCCAACGCGTCTGCCCTATTTTTATGAGAGAGGACTAGCCCGGCCAGTATCAACTGGGAGAGGTACCATGAGCTCGAAAAACAAGACACAACGACCGAGGATGAGCTAGGCGAGAGCGCACCTTTACACTGGGTCTGGGTGAAAGTACTTCAGTGACAAGGATGAGGCTGGGTATGCATGTGTTTGTACAAGGATGTGGAGCAGTTTACACCTGGGCTGG